TACCTCTCCAACCGCAGTGATGAAAGCAGGAAGTGACGACAAAATCCGTGACGTCATATGCTCGCAAACGTGCTTCGACAGCTTACTGCTATGTATTTTGGAACGGTACTTGTGACGCTGCCAGTACTGGCAGTAAATATCGGAATGCACCCATGGTTGAGCGTCATTATGCGCCGCATGCGCACAAAGCAGCTGGAGAGAGAGGCTACTATATTGTCTGCACCGTAACGGTGAGCTTCAGGTCGGCACCGTACTAGCAATATAGGAGTATTACATATATGCCACAAGGCGATTGTAGTCATACCATCTTGAGCACGAGCCCGACACAGATGGGCACGCCCCCTGTGAAAGACGGCCGTGTATCGCGTGGTAGTAGGTAAAAACTGCACATCCCCCCCCCCACATTCGTTCTGAGAATGTATATCAGTAGACTGGCGTTTGCTCCTCTCTCGCAGGGGCGTGAGCCATAGAAGCAAAGAAGAAGAAGAAGTACTATAACAAGAGAGAAANACATGACATAATTGACAATAATAATATTTTTTCAATCTCCGAAAATTTTGGTGTAGAATTCTTCTTTGTTAATTTGATAACCTAAACCATTAATTTTATTAAGTATTATAATAGTCCATAAGCTTCTATTTTAAGTTAGCCATATAAACTTAAAATAGAAGCAAAGAATATATGAATATATATTCTTTAATTGAAGGTTATGGCCTCTCATTGAAAACCATTATTTATACTTTATTATAAATCTCCATTATTAATTAGGAAAATCTATAATCTCTGATTTGATTTGGTGCAAAAATGATTCAGTGGACCGAAAGTCTATAATCTCTACTTAGTCATGAAACACCGAATTTCATGATTGGCCACTGCATTGAAATTTGAGGTTGGAGATTCGAGACCTGAGAACTGAAATTTGAGATTGGAAACGAGATCTAAGATTTGAGAAGCGACTATGAATTCGGGCCTAAGTATACAATTGTACAGAAAATAAAAACATTGTTAATGGATGGTCCAAGGCTTCTTTTTTCGTTTGATGGCTCTGAAAGAATCTCTGCCACATGGCCAAAAATCGCGTTGACAATATTTTGACGCTCTTGTTCCACGGGTTTGTTTCTCCTTATATTACATAAAGCACAATTACGCGGAAAACCGGAACGATATAGTAACAAATAGATATTTGTATTTATTTAAAAAAATTGATTTTTCTTAATTCACTGCAATTTTTATTAATATGCTTATTTTTTCAGTTTATCTATTGAATACAAACATTTTGATCAGTAAATATTGTTAAAAATTGATATTTTATAATTTTCCGTTACGCTTTTCCGCACAATATATGCTCCATGTAATATAAGGTAATCAAAACAGACGGAACGGAACGCGCGGAAACACAGAAATCTAGTAAAGTCTAGTTACTTTTGACTTCCGCGTTTCCGCGCTTCATGTACTGGCACCCTTAGGGCGATGTCCCATTGAGCGGAAATATATAGCGGAACGGAATGTGCGGAACCAGCTCGACCAATCATAGCCATTCCGTTTTCTTTTCTTCGCTTTTTCTGTGGTTACGATTGGTCGAGCTGGTTCCGCACATTCCGTTCCGCTATAGATTTCCGCTCAATGGGACATCGCCCTTAGGGTACGATCCCATGCACTGTTATTTTTTGCGTAACGCGTAATGCGTAATCAATCAGAGAAATTACGTGTACTAACATAAAGCACGTAATCTCTCTGATTGGTTACGCGTTAAGAGCCGTCTACAATGGAGAGTTGTAGGCCGTAATAGTAAGAAATTGACCAATCACAGACTAAGTACAGAAGAATAATCGATTGTGATTTGTCAATTTCTTACTGTTACGGCCTACAACTCTCCATTGTAGACAGCTCTTTACGCGTTACGCGAAAAATAACAGTGCATGGGACCGGCCCAGTGGTCTCGCGGCCTGAGTGCAGGGGCTGCGAACCCGGAGGTCCCGAGTTCGAATCCGCTCACCTAAGGATTTTTTCCCGGGCCCGGTCCCCTTCAACCGAGGTTTTCGGTTGATCGGCGAACTACATCGGGTCTCCAAAACTTAATTCAGATGTAATTCCGAATTTATTTCCCTCCCACAAGGCGATCACAAGTCACAACAACTTGAGCACGAGCCCGACACAGATAGGTACGCCTACTGTGAAAGACGGCCGTGTGTCGCGTGGTAGTAGGAACAAAAAGAAACTGCACAAATTG